TGTGTTATACATGCCAGACGAATGTGGAAGCAAGAGGAGCTATCTGGGAGTGCAACCTGGCCTGGACAGGGAAGTTTCCCTGCTGCAGTTTTAGTAGGTAATTTTAGGGTTACGATAGCATTTCCTGACGTTTTCAGTAATGAGGAATGTGTAGTGACAGTGTGCCAAAGTATCAACTGTCACAATTGTTGGAGGGACGGTTATCAAAAAGCCTGTCAGTCTATTGTCTCTTAACTTTAATGTAGCTTCTGCCAGCAAAAACATCTCACTTCACTGTATTCAATATACTTATACTCCGTCATGCCCCCAACTCCCATTACTCAAGAAGGCCTAATGTACAGAGGCATGCAACAACAAAAAAAATGACCTCAGTAGAATGATCAGATCACTCTTCTAGTTAATTCTTTAGCTCTCATTCGCTGCTTAAAATCTGGTATCAAACTAGGGAAGATTATAGTTCAGATAAATCCAGGGCCTAATTAATTTTTTTAACATATTTTCCGTGTGAACAAATTTCTCTTGCCAAAATACTGTACTGTTTAGAACAGAGGTTGCAAATTGCTTCTTGTGGGCCAAATTTGGCCCGCAGCTATGGCTTGGCTCCCCCCTAACTTATATATATGCATGCGTGTACGTACATGCACACAAATGAGTTATCCATATAAAAACCCAGATTTCCACCTTCTTTTAAAAATGCTGAGGCTCTGGCAATGCTGGGCCCGTCTTGAGAAACAGTAGTTACCAGCTAGAACAGAGTGGCAGCAGTTCCAATAGGAATACCTGTTTAGCCTTTGAAAATATTTTAGTTATGGGACCCCTGGTTTAAATGCATTGTTTGTTCAATTCAATAAAATATCCCCTTCACTCCTGAGATGAAGACTTTCCAACCTTCTGATTTGTCTCCTCTTTTGACTTCTTACTCTTACAAGGTAAAAAAAGTAAACCACATTTTAAAGTTCTGTCTAAAAAAGATACTCTAAGATTTTTAAAGAACTACTATCAGATGAAAAATCTTTAAACCATGTGCCCTGGCAAAAGGAAATTTTGAGTATGGAAATGTTTTCAGTTTCAATAGCCTCGCAAAATCAAAGCAGGCAGAAAAATGCTTAACTGAAACTCAGGAGCACGATAAAGACATCAGTCTGGCTCTCTCACCAAATAATTATTCTGAGTTTCATCTCTGATTCCACCGCCGCTTAGGTCCCTGAGAGTAGAAGTCTGTGACAGTGACTTGGGCTTCATTCTTGTTGTCAACCCTGATGATTTTAAAACTAGTTGGCCTAATTTTCCCCTTTGGGATGCTTCGGATGGTGTTTGCTACTTCTGCTGGAAGAGATTCTCTTCTGCTCATGGAAAGACTTTCTTTTCCCTCTGCGGATTTATGATAGCCTATGGGTAGAATTATACTGCAATACACCATATGGGAAATACGTTAAAAAACTGAGTTCAAGCTTACGTATGTGTGTACAAATTTCTAAGAAACAAATCTTTATCCAAACTCTACGACTGCACATGTGATCATTTATTTGATAATCATTTGACGTTGAACACGTGCCCCCTGGGTCTGGGATCCTGGGAAAGATAACCCCGCTACAATTCCTGCTTTGATGTGACTGGTGGCATCTTAGAGAGAAGTTTCAACATCACAAAATGTCTCCACTGAAGATACTTTATCATTAAAGATCCAGGATTTAGCAAGAGTCTTTCCATTTTAGGAAAGTCATAGTAAGAATACAAGAGAGGAGAGGCTATAAACAATTGAGGATTTTTTGTGGGATCAGTAGAGCTCTCAAACTAACGTACTACTATGGGTTGAACTGTCTCCTGGAAAAGACACTGAAGTCCTAAGCTCTGGGACCTCAGAATGGGACATTATTTGGAAATAGAGTCTTTAAGGAAGTAATCACATTAAAATGAAGTCATTAGGGTGAGTTCTAAACTACTATCCTTATAAAAAGGGGAAATCTGGAAACAGAGATAGCCATGCACAAAAGACAGACAATGTGAAGACACCGAAGGAGAAGGCCACGTGAGGACAAAGGATTGGAGTGATGGATCTGCGAGACAAAGAATGTCTGAGGTGACCAGAAGTTAGGAAAGAGGGAGCATGCCCTGCAAACACCTTTAGCTTCAGACGTCTGGCCTCCAGAACTCTGAGACAATACATTTCTATGGTTTTAAGCCACCCAGTTTATGGTACTTTGTTACAGAAGCCCCAAGAAAATAATACAAGCACCTTTTCAGAACTGGATAGTTTCTTCATACTTAGGAGGGCCTTAGTGCCTACCAATTTTTCCTTTTTCTTTAATGTTTTGACATGGATTTGCATGCTGTTTTATGATACCTTAAAAATTCTACTACTACTAACATTTTCCAAATTAATATCCTTCTAACACTTGGTCCATAGTAATCTGAACAATGTCAATGACCCCCTAATGTTCAAGTCAACAGATTCTATTTTCAGGTCCCCAAAATGTCAGTAAAAATGGCCAAAGCAAATTTACTATATAAAGGAGAAAGAGGAATTCATGGAAAAAATAATGAAGACGAATAGTTTGGGGATTAAGATAAATCATTTCACTTTCTGTTAAAGCTAAGGTTATCAGTAAATATAATTCCTTTTATTTTTGAAACTAGTATAAATTGATCATTTTATTCTATTCTATCAGTGATCTTTTCCGGCTTCTTATTAAGAGTTCTCAAATATGTGAGCTTTGTTTTTGGTTTAAGTTTAGTGTCCACTAATCTCGTTTCCATCCAGTTAGGAAACAGGTTTTTGAGTTGCCCTAAGAGCTCCAGTTGAGAATGCAGAGTCATTCCCCATTTGCTCCCTTGTACTCCCCAGTAACTGTGACTCTGTTCTTAGTTTCTGGCATGATATCTGGCACATAAGAAGTGCTCAGTTAGTATTTCTTCAAAGTAAAAGCCAGATATGAAACCATGTTTAGGAAACAAATATAACACAAGCATTTACAGTCCACGGGCAGACAACTGGTACGGTGCTTTTATGCAGTTGTTTTTTTTTTTTTTTTTTTTTAAGTATTTACTCATACCACTAAAACTGACTCTTGGTGTTGATGATTCTCTACCAACCACCTTATTCAAGTCTGAACTGCTTTGAGGCCTCCGAGAAAGCAGGGACACCCTGCCCATTTGTTATGCTTGTCTCATGTCCACCTCTTCCAAGTGCTCAGACTTAATCCTTCCTTTGGTCTGTAACCTGTCCCATTCTTTTCAGTAATCGACCAAATGACTGGTATGGTGGGTAGGCTCTAAGATGGTGCCCGTGACCCTTGCCTCCTGGTCTCCTTGCCGTCATCCTGAGTATAAGTAGACCCTGTGACTCGCTTCTAACCAACAGAATGTGTCAAAGGGGGCAAAATACCACTTCCATGATCATGTTACCTAAGACTGTGACCCCTGTCTTGCTAGCAGCCTCCATTAACTCTCTTGCTGGCTCTGATGGAGGAAGCCGCCATACAGAAAGGCCTTTCGTCAGAATAAGAGTGCTATTGGTTTCTATTGCTACATAACAAATTATTGTAAACTTAGGGGATTAAAACTACATATATTTATTATCTCATTATTTTCATGGGTCAGGAGCCTGGGCAGTGCTGAGCTGTGTCCTCTGCTCGGGGCCTCACAGGGCTGCAGTCAAGGCATCAGCCAGGGCTATGGTTTAAACTGAGGATTGGGTTCCTCTTCCAACCTCACTGGTTATTCACAGAATTCAGTGCCTTGCAGTTGGAGGATGGAGGCCCTCACGTCCTAGAGGCTTCCCACCATTCCCTGGTACATGGCCCTCTCTGTAACAGGGCACTTTGCTTCTTCAAAGCCGGCAGGAGAGCATCTCCACTGCTTTGAATTGCTCCGACTTCGTCCATGTCTGACCTCTAGAGCCTCTTTGAAAGGGCTCACCTGATTAGGTCAGACCCATCTAGGATTACTTCCCTTTTGCTTAAAGTTAACTGATTGGGAATTTTAATTACATCTGCAAAATGTCTCACCTATCGCATATAATGGAACCTAAGCAGTGGAGTGGTATTTCATCATCTTCACTGTTCCTGCCCACACTCAAGGGGAAGGGAGTATTCAGGGCAAGCATACCCCGTGATGGAAACCGTGGGGGCCATCTTAGAATTCTGCCTACCACAACTGGCATGTCTTAGAACTATCTGTGAGCTTTATTTCCACTTGGCTCCTATAGTTTACATTTCGGTAAAGTATTTTTGCAATACTGTACTAGTACTAGAGTGGCAACAGCAAAATTAGAATTCCCCTAAATGTAGTATTTACACAGGAAACTATTTTGTAAGATTTCAAGATCACATCTACTCTAGACTAACACCCCTTTGTGTGAAACACAAGAATGGAGTTTCTTTTCCTGTCTTCAAATGCGGGCAACGGTCACTGTGAGTGAAGAACAAAATGTGTTAGTCGGGAGCTAGGATGGTGAAAATGAAGGCGGCGTGCCCCACTGAATGAGTAGTATCTGTGAGCGCAGGACGGCAATGTTTCTGTCCGAGTACACATAACAGCTTTACCCTGCTTATTCCCTGCGGTGGAGGGCTGTGGGGTGGAGCGAGCCCTGCTACGGACAGCGGCAGCCAGCAAGCCAGCAAGCCTGGCTGGGTCTGGTCGTGCTAGAGTGGCGAGCTGTGGCAGGTGAAACACTCCAGATCATACCACAGAATCTGCCGCGTGTCCGTGCCACGTCGCCTCCCTAAAGAAAAGAGTGGGAGGCAAAGAAATTTCGAGTTTCTCCATGAAGATGTACTGCTTACAGGGTGGCCCTGATATTTTCTTTACTCAGAGGTAAGTGAAGTTTGTGTCTCGCGATATTTTCAACATAAACAGATTTTTTTTGGCCCCCATTCTGTGAACTGATAGAGAATTCCAAGTACCTCTACATTTTATTCATACTCATACATTTGAACAGTGGAAACGACCAGATATAGTTTATTAAAATGTTCATTAAAAACAATTTTGACTCAGTTTTTTAAAATGGCAAATACATTAAAAACTGTTACAGTGTCATGAGATTGCAAATGTTGCCTTATGAAATTATAAAGAATTTGTTTAGTAAAAACTATGAAATATTTTAATTTAAACTTCACATATAAAAATATATATTTTATTGAAACACTGAACAGTTAAGGCCACAACACTTGAAGGAGAGTTTGAGATACACGTATTTTTAAAATTGCTTGTCAAAAATATTAGCATAAATAAATACCAAACTGGTCGTAATATTCAAACCAAATAAAACATATTATTAAACTTGTATCTTTAAAAGTTTGTTATCAGAAACTTTCCTTCAGAAGTCAAACTGTTTTTCAAGTATAAATTACAATGTGCTTGGTGACCACGGAAACATAAATGTATATTTATAGCAGTGTACAAGATTTTGACCTTCTCTCCATATTTGGGGGTGAAGTATCCTGACGACTTTGCCCCATGTGGTTCTGGTTGGCATCTTTCTTACTGCTTTTAAAAGCTATTTGGTCTCCTATTGGTTTTATCTCTGGGAGTGGCTCATTATTACTCTGCATACTTTTCTGACTCGTCAATGACATCCTTTTAAAGAGGAAAATCTAGAAAAAAACCCACACACACAAAGAATTCATTTCAGTAAGTGAAGAGTCACTTAATAGTATTTAGGGGGTATAATTTTCAACTAGTCTTAACATTATTTCATCACATCTTTACGGGGCACCATGTGTACAAAGGTACATTCTCAGTGTCCATCAGCCTCTTCTTTTACCAGTGGCAATCATGCTTCCTCCCCGAAACAAGACCTTTCAGGGTTTAACGTTCAATACTATCTCAGGGTCTTGGTAATACGTTATCATTTTTCTTCAAAGAGCAAATTCAGTATTGCACTTTGTTGTGTTGTTAAGAGAAAAAAAGATGAAAACTAGGATATTCTGGAGGACAGACCTCCCGTTCCTGTAGATCAGAACTTCTGGCAAAATGTTAGCGCTGCCAAATGATGGCTTTGGGAGCCCCAGGGGTCTGACTAGGCAGGTGGATATATGGATCTGCTGCTCAGGGGAGGCCGGGGCTGGTGAACAGGCAGATAACAGCCGGAGAGAGGAAAGCAGACGCCACAACCCAGGGACTGCAGGCAGGCAGAAAGGAGAACAGAAGAAAAGAGACTGAGGGAGAGCCAAGTGTGAGATGCAGGCAGAGGCAGAGGAGCGAGCACTGGGGACAGAGCTTTGTAGAAAAAAGATCAGGAAAGAGAGGCACCTCAGAACTGAGGGAGGAAAACGTGTCAAGAAGGGAGTGCTCAAGAGGGGACATGCAGGAGAATTTGAGAAAGATGGCGATGGAGAAGTCCCATGGGATTTTAGTCCTTTAGAGGATGTAGCCAGAGAAAATAAGATTCCTGAAGAGGGACAACACACACATACATTGGTTTTGACAAGATGCCAAAAAGAAAAAAAAACCAAAAACAGGTGAGGACTTGGCTTCTTTGGAAACCAAAATGATGTGAATAATAGCTGGCCTTTAGTCTTTAAAGAATGGAGGAACTCAAGTGAAAAGTGGCGATCCAAAAAGTCAGAGTCTAGAAAAAGGGTCTGTGGGCTACATTGGAGGAACTCCTGTTTCATTTCTGCTATTGTGGAGGAATCCGTATCTTGAAAAATTCTGCTACTACAAAATACCAAGAAATGCTGAATAAATGCAAAAAACATAATTTTATAATGTGTAACTAAGTTCACAGAAACAAAATGAAGGAAAAATCCCTGTGGGCCAACAAATGAAGAGGGAGCAGGAAACCTCAGAGGCGAGGGAGGAATGAAATGGCATTTATTGGTCTCACAACTTAGACTCATTTTGTTAATGTATATTTGATTTCACAAAATGTGGAAACTTGGTACTGAGCCCCCTCCACAAAGCAGGGACCCTCTAAGAACTACGCCCTTAATGTAAGTCCATCTGCAAACATTGGGAGATGACAAAATAACATGGCTCTCCTGGTCTATGCTTTGAGTGAAGGAGAACCATGGTTTCCTAATGAGAGGCTGGGGTTCCCATTTACTTTACTGGTGTAGGTGGGAAAGCACTAACTGAGGAATTAACTGAAAGCGGTCCTGGAATGGTAACACCCAGGGGAGCTAACAGAGGCTAATACAAATTCTCTATGGTTGGATATGCCTTAATGTAAGTCTTAAAGGGGTTCCACAAAAAGTCCCAGTTGAACATGCACTCACAATCCGAATTTCAAAACACATAAGGAAACAAGATAGTACTAGCAAGTCAACCAGAGCAACAAACAGATTTAGATTGCTAAGAATGTATGACATTGGAATAACTAAATATACAGTATAAAATAAGTATGTTTAAATTATTTAAAGGACCAGAATAAAAAATATGAGCACAAAAGCAGATACCAGTTTTTAAATGATTGACTTGAAAAAGAATCAAAATAGAATTTCATTTCAAAATGTGAAAAATATAATCACTGAAATAAAAATGCAACAGGTAGGTTGAAAAGATTAGCCTCAGCCATAAGGAAACTATGGAATCAAAGAGCTCTGAAATATGAAAGCTCTGAAATTCCCTGAAATATTACTTAGACACGGACGACGGGAAAGTAACATTAAAAGACACGGATAAAAGAATGAAAAGTTTTGTATCGAAATTTCCAAAGAGGAGAGCGGAAATATTCAAATATATAATGGATGAGAATTTTCTTAAACCGATGAATGACTTGAATTCTCAGATTCAAGAGTCATAATGAATTAGAAGAAAGTTAAAGCAAAAAAATTCCCATCTAGGCATCTTGTAGTGAACTGAAGTACATCAAAGATAAACAATGTAGAAAAACCAGCCAGGGAGAAATGATAGATTATATACAAAGTTATCGGCAGTTATACTAAAGCAAATTTCTTAATAGGAACAACGGGAGCAGATATCAAGAGAAAAATAACTGCCAACCAGTTATGAACCATACGATCATTCATTTGCAAGTGAACAGAAACTAAAAAAGTTAACTACAAAAAGAAATCTATGACAGGAACTTCCAAAGGATTTCTTCAGGGAGAAGAAAAAGGATCCCAAGAAGGATATCTGAGATGTAAAACGGAATTGTGAGTAAGAAAGTGGTATAACAAATAATAGTAACATCTGATTGGTGAGGCTAAAAAATTAAAATACTGGATACAATAACATGTAAAATGGAAAGGAAGGGGTGATAGGAGAGAAAACTCTTCTAAGATCTTGGTATTGCTTGAGGAAAAGACACGAACATTAACTAGCTTTAGATTTTAGGTATGTTATGTTAAAAAATTTAAAGACAAAATCCAGCTTATAGGCCATCTACAAGAGACTCATCTAAAACACAAGTAAAAGAATGAAAAAAGATGTATCAAAGTGCTAACCAAAGGAAAGCTAGTACAGCTCTATTAATAACAGATACCCTTTAGCATTTTTTAGAGATAATGAAGAATACAAATAGTAAGATGACAGATTTAAATGTAACTGCATTAATGATCAGATTAAATATAGATGGGCTAAATGCTCCAATGAAAAGACAGGGATTTTCAGATTAGATAAAAAAAAAAAGCAAAACCCATCTTTTTGCTGCCTAAATCAAATGCACCTCAAATACAAAATCACAAATGAATTAAAAGGAAAAAGATGGAAAAAGACATATAACTCTAATCAAAAGAAAGCTAGAGTGGCTATGCAGTATCAGACCAAGCAGATTTCAGAGCAAATATTATCAGGGATAAAGACGTCATTTCATGATAAAGGGGTCAATTAATTAAGAGACTACAACAGTCCTAAATGTTACAGAGCCCAAGAAGAGCTTTAAAGTACATGAAGCAATTGGGGCGCCTGGGTGGCTCAGATGGTTAAGTGTCTGCTTTCGGCTCAGGTCATGATCTCAGGGTCCTGGGATCAAGCCCCGCTTGATCTCCCTCTCCCTCTACTATTCCCCCTGCTTGTGCTCTCTCGCTCTGTCAAATAAATAAATAAAATCTTAAAATAAAATAAAATAAAATACACGAAGCAAAAACTAATAGTAGTACAAGGAGAAATAGATGAATCCACAATTGTATTTAGGGATTTTAATACTCCTCTCTCAATAATAGATATTACAAGTAGACAGAAAATCAGGAAGGATAGGAAATACTTAAGCAACGCTACCAACCAACTTGATGCAATTGACATTGATAGGACACTCCACCCAACAACAGCATGCTTCTCAACCTTCCCAAGTGCACATGGAACACTAACCAAGATAGACCTGATTCTGGGCCACAAAACAGGTCTCAATAAATTTAAAAGGACTCAAGTCATACTAAGTTTGTTCTCTAATCACAGTGTAATTAAATTAGAAATTAGTATCAGAAACCTCAAGGGAAAATACCCAAATATCTTGAAATTAAATAACCCATGAGTCAAAGAAGAAACCAGAAAATATTTTGAACCGAATAAAAATGAAAACACAACACATCAAGTACTTCAGAGAAACTAGAAAAAGAAGAGCAAATTAACCCAAAGAAAGTAGAAGAAAGGAAATAATAAAGATTAGAGTGCACATAAAATATAAAACAATACAGAAAAATCGATGAAACCAAAAACTGGTTCTTTGAAAAGATCAATAAAATTGATAAACGTCTAACCAGTTCATCAGGGAATAAAAAACAGAAGACATAAAATAAATTTGACAAAAATCCTATGCAAGACCTGTACAACTAAAAACTACAAAACATTGCTAAGAAAAACAGAAGACATCCATAAATGGAGAAGTATCTTCATGAGTTAGGAGACAATGTTGTTAAGATGTTCATTCTTCTCAAATTCATCTGTAGGTTCCAAGCAATCCCAATCAACATCCCAGCAGGCATTTTTTCCCAGTAATTGACAAACTGATTCTAAAAATTCATATGGAAATGCAAAGGGCTTAGAATAGCCAAAACAAGTTTGAAAAATAACAAAGTGGAAGGAGTAACACTTCCTGACTTCAAGACTTATTATGAAGCTAGAGTAATCAGGACAGTGTGGGACTGACACAAGATAAACAGATCGAAGGAACAGAATACAGACTCCAGAAATGGAGTCTTTTCCACACATGGAAAAGGTAACTGATTTCTGATTTCTGTGAAGACAATTCAGTAGAGAAAAGGTAGTCTTGTTTCAACACATGGTGCTAGAACGATCGGATGTCCATATGCAAAACAAAACAAAACAAAAAAACCCCCACAAACTTTAATTCATACCCTTACCATATAAAAAATCAACTCAGAATACAACTCAGCAATGTAAATGAACTATCGATACATGCATGGGTGGATTTCAAAACAATTACGCTGAACAAAGTAAGCCAAACAAAAAGAGTACACAGTGTAGGATTTCATTTATATAAAAATCTAGAACTTGCAAAATAATGTATGATGATAGAAGGAAGATCAGTGGTTTGCTGAGGACAGCAGGGGTCAGGGGGGCATAGACAGGGATCACAAAGAGGCACAAAGAACCCTCTGCCAATAATGGCACTGTTTACTCTCTGGTGATTATGGTTTCACAGGTGTATGCATATGTCCAAAGAAATCAAATTATATACTTTAAATATGTGTCATTTATTATATGTCAATTATACCTCAATAAAGCTCTTTTGAAAAAGCAGGGGAGTCATTATTGGGTGACCTGAGGGAGACTGTCTCAGGTTTTAAGCTTGGGAAAAACAGACAATGAGAGGACACCATAGGTATAATCTACCTCAAATTTTCCTGACAACATAGAGTCTAGCTAACTGTGTACTTGAAGCGAGTGTGCTCATTTGTAGCTTGCAATGGGGAACAAAGCATACCATCAGAGAAGAGGTAGTAACTAGGAAAGGCAAGAATTCACCAGCATACTTTTTTGGTGGAGACATTCTCATCTCAGTGTCTTTTATATACGGTAGTGACAGTGAATAAAAAAATCTATTCACTGTGAACTGGCATGGGGAACTATCCAGGGGATCTGCCATGCTGCAGCTAGTTTCTGAGGGAAGGCACTGGATCTTTAACCTCTGTATCTTCAGTCTCTGGCCTTGTGGCCTGGCACATTAAGAGATAACCAATTAATATATGCTAAATAAATACATGAATAAACTAACTCTATAATGTAATGATTTTTAATAGCTAAAAAGTTCACTACTTTTTTTCCTTAGCTACCTTAGGTGGAAACGAAGCCAATAACACATTTTTCTTAGTAGCTAACTGTGGATCCGATTTATCAGCTGTGGCTACAGTGTGGAAAAGTAATATTTGGTAATTTCTAGATCTAACAATCACCTACCAAAAGATCTCTGCCGCCAGTTAAGATCATAGGTCCCAACCTGTCTATCCGAAACATTTAAAATTACCAAAACAAAATTCGGTGGTGAGTTCTGTTTTGTAGATGCCAAGAGTACAGTTCTTTCTTTTCCTTTTTTTGGATTATCTTTGCAAGTGTCTGTCTAAATACCCGGGGGGTGGGGGGGGGTGGGAATGCAAAATCTCAAATATATGTCTCTTTTGATATTAAGTTAATGCATCATTTACTTTCCGAGCTTTAAGAACAGTTTGATTTGTTTGGCTTGGGTGGTATAAATAGGTTAGAGACACTCTAGATTAAAAGAGGTCATATGGGATTGACTAAAAGAAAATCTCACCTAAATCATCTATTTCCTTTTTTAAAATATGGAGAATAACAGTATATTCTTTAAGTAGAAATACATTTATTACTGCTTGACTTTTTAAATATGATTTTCATTACTTTTTGTTTCCTTTAACCAAGGACATGTACATTTACTGAAGTCTACTTTTCCATTAGGTATAAATGAGAATTTGAGCAGAATCCAAGTTTAGGACTACATTCTCCAGCCTGGCACCTGCAGCCCGCTGTATCCTGGCCTGACCTCACCTTTGTCCTGTGCACTGGCGCCACTGCTCGGGCCCCCTGGCTGGCCTGCTCCCCCTGCCACATGGCACTGCCCCCCCTGGCTGGCCTGCTCCCCCTGCCACACGGCACTGCCCCCCTGGCTCAGCCCTCTCCCCTAGCCCTGTGTATCCAAACCCCCCCACCGATGGGCAATGCCATGCTGAAGGCTGGACAGCCTGAAAAATTCCCAAAACTCGATCATGTGTTCTAGAACACACATTTTCATTCGGTCTGAGGCGTGTTTCGAATATTTTCTTCTGCTACTTCACACTTCATTTATCCTCTTAGGTTCTTCTGTCTCCTGACTCCTTTACTTTTCATCTCCCTCCCTCATATTTGACTTTCTTTTCCAGAGTCTTTCCCTGAGCTCTTACAATTGGAACAAAGTCTTCCCAGGATCACTATGAAGTGCAGTAGAATACCTGAAATGTTCTTTTCTACCAGACAGAGAGAATCTGTTCCTAACACCTGATGGTCCATGTTATAATTCTAAGGAGGAGAGTAATTCTGAGAGTATCCTTTGAGCCACATCACAGCTATCTCTAAACATAAGGCAATTTTTATAAAGATAAGAATACTCACAAAGTAATTTTTAGTAAAAGATAACAACAGGGGGCCTGTGCCAAAATTCTGGCTTGAAATTTCTGAAGTAATTGTGAAAGGAATTTCAGAGTGGCAAAAGACAGGCCGTTTACTACTCTGAGGGCCGCTCCTGGTGTCACCCTTCCTGTCCTCTTTCTTACCTCCTCACGTTTCAAGTTCATTATCAACCAAAAATATTTACTGAGCATTTACCACGCCCCATGTACCAGGGACTGCGCTACATGCTAAGGCTCCACTGGAAAGCAAAACAGAAAACAGTTTTTGTCCCATAGAGCTGAAGGCCAGCGGAGAGAGAGAGAGTCATAAAGCAACTGAACGTACACTTCACTATGAAATTGCCAATTACGATAAATACAAAGAAGGATGAAGATAAGGGTGTTACATGAGAGAACAGTAATGGGACATAATTTATCTAAGTGCAGCTGGTCACAAAAGGCCTCTACGTAGAAGTAACTACTTTAAGCCGAAACCTGAAGGCTGAACAGGAATTAACAAGGCCTTTCATTGATCTTTTCTTCCACATTTCCTCCTAATGCTCCTACCTGGAAATGTGCTCTCATGGTTACAGAAAGTTCTCCTGCAAGTGGAAAGAGTAACTTCCAAGAAGAAGAAACATCTCTCTCAGACTATTAACAACTCCAAAACAGGTATTTGGCAGGAGAGGCTGATGTAGCGCGTGGTCACGTTTCCTAAGCACCAACATCCTTATTTTTGCATTCATCCTATTTCTTGGTTTTGACTTACTTTTTTCTAGACTCTCATGATGATTATACTCCTAATTTAAGCAAGAAAGTTCTTTTGTGTTATCTTTTTCCTGTACGTTGAATCAGTGTGAATGGGATTAATGAAAGGAACATGCTATTAAATTCTGGCTGGGCCACCTGACTCCATCTAAAGTCCAGTAAATAAATAGCTATGTTAAAACATGAAACATCACTTGAAATTCTTCACATGTTTTGGGGCCACAAAACCTCATATTAAGGAGGTAAATTATATGAATCACCATATAAAAAGTAAAAGGAGCAATTCAATACTTTGGTCTTAACACTAAAATGAAAAAATAAATTTCACTTACCTTCTTTGATTTTTTGACGTCTTTACTTGGTGTTGATTCACTATCTTCCAGGACTTCTGAAGAACTGCTCTTCGCATGGTCATGCATGTTTCCTATAATAGAATATATTGAGAAATATGTTTTTCTAAGTAATGAGAAAGAGAAAAGTCCTGATGCCCTCAGTGCAACTCTATCAAGCCTGACTTCTGGGGTAGTACTAAAGAGAGCGTGCCACTACCTGCTGGGGCAATAGACAAGGTCTATACTTCATAGTTCCCAGAAGACTGAGTTAAGGCAAAAAGCCCCAAATGACCCGACCAGTGTTGGAGATGTTTGCATGACAAGTACCCAAATAGAGCTACAAAGGTAACAGGGAGTGTCAGGAAAAAGTTCTGTAAAATATAAATTACCTTTTTAAATTAACCTAGTTATAATGAAATTCTTTGTACTCAAATGGACATGGTACTGTTTGGGGTTTCAAATGCATCCACAAGTTATATAACTGAATAATAATCTTTAAAGTATATTCATGAAGTATATGCATTCTTAGACTTTTATATTATCAACTACTTAAATCTTACTTTTAATTCGTTGCTAAGAATACTTACAGATACTATTTTAGCAAAACTTACTACTCTGTTGAAGTTAGAAGGAAAAAAGAATGAAGAGAAGGCCTCCTCCCCCTGCCTGAGCTCAGATCAGATATCCACTACTATGAATGGTTATTTTTAATGAGAACACAGCAAAAAGCACACTTTGACGTGATGGCGTGGAAACAGGATATAAGGGTTGTACAGCAAAACCCAGATGATCTGGCTGTAGAAGATGTGGCTCTCAACGGTAATCGTAGTCCCCTCTATACTGTGGCACCTGTTCTCCGACACCAACAGTCGGGCCTGGGAAAGGACCTGTCTTAAACGTCCACAATAAGATGAAAGACCCATGTCTGAGCCCTGGGGGAAATAATGGGATGGCCAGCCGTAGCTCCAGGCCAGCCTGGTCTTTAGCAATGGGGTCTGGCAGTGCCCACCAGAGACATAAACTGAGATGTGGGACAAAAGCCCAACTTAATACTACTGGTTGAAAAGAAAAAAAAGGGTAGTGAAACGGCTGTCCTGAGCCACTTAACACTGATATATGAGTAGCTGGGAGAGAGGCGAATGTTTTATATGAAGAAGCTGTGGTGGTGATTAACGAGAACAAGTACTCCTATGCCACATATTTCGGCGCCTGTCATGAGGCTCATGTGACAGTAAAAAGTAGGAAAGAGAATACACGTGTGTAGGCTTTGGTGCCTCAACTCCAGCACAGGGTGCACATGTACGCACGCATGCATGTGTGTGTGTTAAAGTAGCCGGCCTTTTGAAGTCAAATGTGTTCACACCTTTTGGATTTTCATTGTATTCACAAATAGCCCGTTCCTCTTGGTTGGTTTTCTCGTCCTATAAATGATAAAGAAACAATGTAATAAAAAACATAATTGTGACGGGCTGGAAAACATCATCTAGGTTTTAGGCAAGGGTTCTCGAGTCAGCCTCTAGCTAACAACATAGACACGTGACTAATGCTTCACTTTGCTGGGTTTTTGCCTCAGATGCTGAGTGATTGCTAATGTCCCTTCTAGCGTCAAGCTTTTTGATTCCAAAATGTTGCTATGATTCAAGAATTCGACTCCAAGAAGATTCAGGAACGTTAGCCGGCAAATGAATTGGCTCGACATTTCACACCATCAAACTGGAGTTTCAGGAATTCTATGTTAAAGAATTTCAGGGACTACCCAAACTGGAACTCATAAATATTCCTTATCAATCTTTCCCTCCCTCTGAAAGAAAACAGTCACGGCTAGACGTTTTTTTTTTTTTTTCCTCAGTGAGAGGAAGGAGTCTTGAGAAAGGAATTAAGAAAATGACCTCGATAGCACAGCCCCATTTTGTAAATTAAAAATACATGCACATAAAACAACACAGGTTTACAAGTACACATTCAAATAAAAGGACAAGCGTGTTTCAGTGGTTGTCTGTGTTATGGAAAAGGAGAACACAAAGGGAATCAATTTAAATAAAGAGAAGCCTTGCGCAGACCAAAGATGCAAGTGATTCATCAACAAGAAGGTATGGTTAGAGGTACAAAAACTGAAAATGAAAACAAATCGACATAGTGTCACTTTCAGTTTGGTTTTCTGAATTCTGTACCTGTGAAGTTAACCCAAAGCAACATTAGCAAATGAATGATTTCAAACCTATCAACTGTCTCCTAGCAGTGTCCCTCTTGGACAAAACTGCCAAATAGAAGAGATGTTTCTGGCATTCCTAGCTCCACTTTTAGGATGACTTCCTCTTCCTCAGTGATAGCTCCCCCTTTTCTTCCTATAATTCCTTTCTTCTACACCACATCTGCACAGAACTGATCACAGCCTCAAAGACCGCTGTGAACAGCTTTCACTTGTCCACATACACGTAAATACACACATGTACGTGTGCACACACCCACACCTCATTTCTGCCACCAGTATAGGGCTCCTGACTTTGTAATTTCATCATTTCAAGGACCCAGTGCTGAACTGCTCGGTTAATTTCTCAACAGTATATTGTACTGGCCCAGATCAGTTCATTTCCACTCAAGCAGGGAACAAACTGCTACCAAGAAGTGTGGAAAGGGTGTTAGAAACAAAGTGTGCCTGATTTATAAATCGGCCAAAGCTTCTCCTAAGGCACATGAACCAAGTTACTCAGAGAAGTATTTCTGCTCCCAAAGGAAGCTGGAGTCGGCCCTGCGCAGAGACCATGGAACTCGCTCTTAGGCAGGATCTCAGGATTTAAGCACATATCATCATACCTTTTCAGTGGTGTCAATCAATATACCTTTTCAGCTGAATTGTCGCTGGCTTCATCTGCTGGCATGTTCTTCTTGCCTTCCGGATATTCATCAATTTCCTCATCCATGTCCTCTAGTTCTTCATCTGAAAATTCATGATCCTGTGGCAAAATTGATAATCAGGGAAGAGGTAAGATTTTTTTTTTTTTTAAAAAACAGCGATTTGATATTGCAGTCATAAATAATTTATATCATCTCAAAGAATACATAGAATACGAAATCAAATACTGAAGGCAAAGAAATAAAATGCTGCATAACCTATCGTGCATATCAAGTTATCATATTACCAAGGCTTTTCCGCACATTGATCTATTTCAACATTTTCAATGACTAGGATTCCCAAAATTCTATTAGCGTCTACTACAAGGTTAAAATGGAAAAAAAAATTAAATATGCTTTCTGAGCTGTCTCAAAAGAATGCTTTTAAACTTTAGAGAAGTTAAAAAGCGCTCTACTGTAGCATTATAACATAATCATATCTATATATTATGTTCATTTTCCAAAACATAGGGATTTAAAATCACTTCAGAAGTACAATTCACTGATATTCACGAGAGAGAGTTAAGTATAATTACTTACATTCCAGGAAGAAGATAAAGGGACATAGGCAGTTTAAATGGTTTGCTCTCGGTTATTTAAAGCAGAGGGAAAACCAGAGGCAGAATGTAGTCTATCTGGCTCCTGTCCAACTAATCCAAATTACAAGACAGCCTGTCTATGGATTTGATAGAGTAAATCATGTAATACTAAATATAGGCGGAAAATATTAGTTATAATCTTTATTCTATACTGAGATTTTTTTCGCAGTTTCATATTTTGGGTGGAATACTGCTTATTTTTTGTCATTAAGAGATCAGGCTCCTTATTGGACTTTTTTTCCTATGCTTTTCATTTATGCACTTCTCTAATGGCCCCGAAAATAGGTGAGGCAGTAAGCAATTAATGCCTTTTACTCCCTTGAAGAACATTTTTACAAAGTTCACCTCGCCATATTTGCCTCAGACGATATACACCCTTTATATCCCTTCAACACAGTAACTAGCTTCTCGTGGTCACCTTCCTAGTTGCTGTTTGGCTAAGGATGAGCTGGACACCCAAACGAATCTTTAGTGGGTGGTCTGAAAATATTACCTCTCATAATTAACTCACCTTTCTTCTGGCAAAAAATACCAAATGTGAGAGTTCAGGCTAGGGAGACTTACTGTTACTTAGTAACAGACGTTAAGTGGCATCCTCAGGCCAATAGCACTAAGGGTGTGGCCTGATAGCATTTTCACTAAGGACAAGCAATCCAGAAGTGAAGCCTGGAGATTTAAGAGTTTCGGCAGTTACCCAGTTACGCTGGGAGGGCCTGACTTAGGTTAAGCAAAGGTCATGAGGCAGTGCATGCAGGAGGGGAACACAGAGAGGAAAACAGGGTACCAGGGTAGACAGCTATATTAAAGGATCTTCTGCACGTTTAGGTTGGGTAGGGTTAACTATGAGGTAGCTACCATTTACCAATAATTTCTAAAGCTTTCTTTTTTTCTGCATAATTTCCCCTCTAAGTGACTTATATTGTATATTATGCCTAGCAAGAAGCACATAGGAGAAGGTAAAATGATCAGAGACTACTTTGGAGGGGAATGGGAAGCAAGATAAACTAGATTTAAGATTTATGGCTGAAAGATGTAGTCATGAATATATATATAAACGAAGGCCAATTGGAAAGGACAGTGTTCCTGAGACAGAATTTCAGACTCTGTCCATCTGTCTCCCATAGGGAGGGGTCAGTGAGCTGTGTTGTAGCAAAGTCCTCTTCTCTTGGAGAATTCTGCTAGTTTAGCACCTGGGTCAACTTCCATTGTGCTAGTTAACTAAGATATTAATGTAACCATAAGACAATATCATGCTATTATAAAAAGGAACATGACATTTTATCTTATTTTGGAAATAAGCAAAACACTCATTTCTTCTTATAATGAACTATAAATTTACTCATAACTTTATGAAAATCTGTAACAATGAATAACTGCTGGAACGGTATCATTTTTTTGAGAAAGCTCTTAGAAAACATTTTCACTAGAAATCACATCAATTGTAGAACTTTGCACTTAAGCACATTTAGAATTAATCTATTCACATCTGGACAACTACTTTAAATCACAGTACTTACCTTCAAACTCAAACATTTAGGAGAGATTGGCAGAATACTGTCATTTTACAAAGAGAAAGGGCAAAGTTTAAGTACATTCTTGTCACCAGAACCACATAAGACGTTAAGTAGTCTAGAATGATCAACGGAAACACGTCTTGTGTTGGGACCTCAGGAGCGAAGGGAAGGGGGGGCCTGGCTCTCACAAAGGGACAGTTGTCTTGCTGGTCAGGCACAGCACCGGGAGCTGCAGTCTTGGGTCTGGCCCAGGGCCACATTTCTTATGGGAAATATCAAGAAACCAAAATGTTCCTCACGAGGTTTCAGTTTGCTTAAGAATACTACATTGCATACTGGAGAAACTAGAAGTTGCTCTCAGCAATTGGCATAGTGGTCATCCTGGGGGGATGGGAAATGCCTGGAAGGGGGTTTGAAGGGAAGCCTCTGGGGAGCGCTCTACCTTGATCTGGGTGTTGACTATGTGGGCGGGTTCACCTTTTGGAAAATGCACTGAGCTATACACGCATGAGATACGCTCTTTTCTAGATGTATTATACATCAATAAAGAGTTTTAAACAAGTTTTTTAAAGGGACTATGAAGTATAAAATTTTGTGCTACATTTCTCAATTTATGAGATGCCTCAATGTCATATAGGATAGACAATGTTTCCCAAATAGGTTAATAGAGCATAAAACTTCATATCTAAATAATACCACGTGGGGAAGTGTATATATTTAAAATCTCAATCTCAAGGCTTTTAGGACAAGAAGGGTTAACATGGAAGTTCATGTTTTTACTACACTGGAACTCACTGAGGCAGGAAGAGAGAGCGGGGAGGGCATTCAGTACAAAGACCTAGGTGCTGCTATCCAAGCTCTGTACCATCAGCCACGGCCTGAGCAAGGGGTCTAATAATATTACTTTACAGTTTCTCTGTAGAATGGGAAAATGACACCAGCAATACCTACCTCAGAGGGTTCGTATCAAAATTAAAAAGATTATTTACAGAGAAAATAACACAAGCAAACAATGAGCATCTGTATATAAGTGATTTTAAGACTCCCTAGTATACATTGAGGGCCATCAAAAAAACAAGATGCTTGGGCACCTTTTTGCCATAAAGTCCCAGATCTTATCACTAGAAAATAGTTGATTGAAAGTGTTCACGTATTTGTTCTACCCTCTCGCGCAGCTCCCTTTACTGTCTGCCAGGAGCCCAGAAGCTAGAACAAGCAAGGGAAGAAGGCAGGACGTGTCAGGAGCAGCCTAGGACGACAGGGAAGTGGAGGGGCGCCTTGGCTGGACTGTGGGCCAGTGCTGCCTCAGGTCCAAGTCAAGCCCAGAAAACACTGTTACAGTATAAAGCTTCCCGGTATTTCAGTGTTGGCAATGGATTCAAGCGTTAACCAGAATCACTGTGTATACCAAGCAAAGTGAGTCTGCAAGCCGGGTTGCACCGAAGGGCTCCCAGTTTGACCTCCAAATTATTGCGGTCTAATGTCACTACTTTACAATCTCTAAACTCCTCCTCCTTTCTATGTACCAATCCCTTAGTTCATTCCTAATCTGGTATTTTTGCCACAAAATCCATTCCAGTTTGACGCTTGTAAGCAGGCCTGCAAAAGTGGCTACAATGCTGAGGATACAAACTTCTTGCTGGTAGGCAGTTTTACTCTTTATGTTTGAGTTATTTTTTAACCTATTTTGATAAAAACATTAGGACACAGGGCAATCTGTTGTCCCGTACCATCAGCCTTTCACCACGCTTCAAACGTTGAGGGACAGTACTGGACCCACGTATGGTGTGCAGACTTTCATTCTACCCCGTATTTAAGGGGGTTATCATTATTGTTACTCACTTCACTCCCACAGATCTACTTCCATAAGCCAATTTTGGGGAGGGGGCAGCTATGTTGTGCTTAAACAGAAGTCAGGTTCACATGACTAGACTCAATGCACATCTGTCAGTGACCTGGAGATTCCTGAGGGGAGTTCTGTACCTGACTTGATGTGGTCAGAGGGGTTAATTAGAGGGACACGGGTTACCATTTGCTGAGTACCTCTAACATGTTTCATGTGTTAATTTAACTATCCAAAGACCCCTCCCTTTAAAAAAAGAAAGAAAGACTCAGAAAGGTTTTAAAAAAAAGAAAAGTTTTTCCACGTGTCCACACAGCTAATCTGTGAAGGGCTGGGGTGTGAATCCAGGCCTAATGGGGGCCAGTGCCCAGGCTCTTTCCTGGCTCTGCTCAAATACGTGAAGACCAGAACAGGTGCCCTCAGGGCTGATCCCCCCTCCCCCTCCCCCTCCCCCTCCCCCTCCCCCCCCCGCCACCGCCAAAACTGACAGCTCTGTAGTCTCTTCCTTTCTGCTGATCAGCTCACTTCGACAACGTCCTGTGCTTATGTACCCTTGTATATAGTAGTAGCAAGTGCAATTCTAAGGTGTTTTCCCCCAGGGCATCAGAGTCCCTGACTCTAAGGCGGCCTTCCTGGAGCTCCCTCTTTACTGGCAATGTGGGCTCTGGCCAGCCTTCTGCTGGGCCTCTCCCAGACCTCTCTGCAGCCCTCCACCATGCCTTCCTTGGCTTGGGTGGTACCTCTCTTTCCTAGAAAGTGTCCCTACACCGCCTCCTTCTCGGACTTCCCTTTCTCAACCTCCCCATTAGCTACTGAGGTTTCCTCAAACTCTGTCTTCAGTTCTCTTCTTCTCGTACCATGAGTGCTGCCTCTCACTCAACTCCATGGTTTTAATGACCCCTAAAAGCTGGCGATACCCAGCAATCTCCCCTGAGTTCCAGGCCCACACGTGTATCTGTCTGCTGAACATCTGGGTCAACAAGCCCAAGCAGGCTCCTAAACCTGCCCCTACTCCTGTTCTCAGCCTTGGCCAATGGCGCCCTTTCCACCTGGCTCTTCACACAGAAACAAGAAAAGCTTTGCCTTGTCTCTCCCTCCAGGTTGCATCTCTTTACTAAGCCCTCCAATTCTATCCCTAAAGCTCTCTTGATAACACATGTCCCCAACTCTCTGTCCACACTGTCTAGTCCCCTCTTCTGTTTCTGCCTGCTCTCCTCGAGCTGCCTCCTAACTGGCACCCCTGGTTCTGGTCTTGTTCCTCTCCAACCCACCCTCCCTATTGCTGCCAGACCGTTACAAAAACCCAAGTGTGATCACCTTACTCTTGCTGTTTAACATCTTTCAAAAACACATTAAGGTCCTTTGCCTCTCTACCCAGAACCAAAAGACACTCTAAGTTGTGGTCACACTGAAATACTCTCAGGGCTCCCATCAACTGGGAAAACCTTGCCCCTGCCGCTTGCATGGCTAGCTTTTACTTCTCACGACTCAGCTGACATTTCCCCGTTGCTCCTTGGAAGCCCTTTCCTAGCCCCTCTCTGCAGAAGTGCAGAAGTGGCCGCTGAAGCGCCACTCCTGAGACGCTCTATTGTCTGCGTAAAGTTTCTGGTCAGCCTATAGAAACAGCCAAGAGTCCCCTGAGATCCGGAACTGTATCTTACTCTCGGCATACTCAAGGCACAAAACCACTGTCTTCTTAATTAAGGGACTTCATGAAGGAAAGCAAAAGATTTGTTTTCAGATCATATTTTTATCTTCGGGTAGCCCTGGCTAAAAAGAACACGGGAGTGGGGGTGGGGGGATATATCAGGTAACTAAAGGGCATTGTTAAGTCATAGTTAAAGGCAGGGCCATGGGAACTCCTTTTACCTGGTGTCCTTTCAAGACATCTGTACCCACCTAATGTCCCTGACGGGTAAAAGGGCCACAGGAGGCTGCCTGTAAGCGGCCCTCGTTTCTTGAGCTCTCCCTGATTTGGGAAAGCTTCCATTCCCTTTTGGGTGATTGCTATGTATGTACATACTTATTTGTTGAGCGAATAGTATGTACCAGATATTAAGTTACAGGTCAGGGACATTGGGAAGAATGAGGGAAGAAGGAAGCACAGCACCTTCCTCTGTGGTAGCATTTTATCTTGAAGGTATACGTGCATAGCAAGTTGACCTCTAGAATGCCATTACAGAAAACATTCCATTGCACTCACCTCAAGAGCTGCTGGTTCGGCAGCAGCAGATGTTTCTGTGATACTCCTTTGTAGCTTACCTGAAAATATTTTTCTGCCAGAGTCCTCATTTGAAACTGTAACTCAACGGATTCTACACACACCCCCCTCACGCTGGCCTCAGTAATAACCAGTGAGAAACTACAATAAAAGCTTGATCCACCAGCAGATGGGGACAATAAAGAAGGAACCAGTTATTCCGATCTGTTTTACCAAGTACTAACTCACATCTCAAAATGACGAGGCCTGTGCTCTTGACCAGAACACTATGCCTGCCCGAGCTACTGCTTCAAAAAGAGCATACGACACTTTGGTTGGCCAGGGAAATGTGAAGAAATGGGCAGGAAATGCTGTTTAAAAGTGGCTCTCTAAGGCCAGCTCAAATACTGAGATGGGCACATGCTCAGAACACCATTTCAGTGTTGCTGGCTGGTGAGGTCTCATCTTTGACATTAACAACTTGAGGGTTAAGGGTTTCTTTTCTCCCTGAAGGCTTTTCCTTTATGAACTCCATTCTACTGTTCATCTCAGTGAATCACTTTAAGCCAACGTTTTAAATAAACATGTTGGGCCCTGGCTTTAACCACACAGCGCAAACACTTGATCAAAGTACCAATTCCATTTCACTGACCGTCACTGAATGTGGCTGAATTTGGTAGAACCCTGCAATGCCAACTTAGCATGTTTGGTTAGTTAGCGGAAGCTACCAGAGACCCCTGAAGCTAAAACAAAACCTACAGTTGCTCCTAGGAGTCTCTTCTCTTTGTACTCTAGTCTCTCCCCCCATATTCTTTCTCACAGAGAATCAAATGTGCGAAGGATTCAACTACACAAAATTCACAGGAAGTTTCCCATCCCGATTCTCCTTGCTAAAAGAAGAAATCCCTCATGCCCAAGATATGGAAGGGACTGGGGCGGGAAACCAGTTGAAAAGGGCGCTATGAATAAAGAACAGTCAAATGATCTAGCTGTATGGAAAATACTGAAAATTTTACGGGAAGATTGAATTTACGCTAATCAAAATCTAGCCTCTCGAAAATTCAGTATCTAGTGTCAGTTTCTCTTTCCACAAACAATTACTGATGGTATACATTTACATTTTATTTTACTTGAAACAGTCTGACAAGCAACAAACAGAGTTACAGAATAGTCAATGAAGAACACACTGAGGGTACATAACAGACACTGGGAATGACGATTCTGATAATACAGTTAAAGCTCAGAAGTTATAGTTTAGAAATACAGAATGACAAAGACAAGGTACATTAAAGCTCTTCCTAAGTTTTTAAGAGTAAAGAACAATACATAATTTATAGAAAACTCAATTCTAAAGTGCGATTTTTCTTCTAACTTAAAAAACTTTTATGCAAATGACAAACACAATGGGAATAAATGAGCCTGTTAGAACAAAAGAATCTGAGAGTTAGGAGGGACTATAGTTCTATCATCTAATCCGCTCCATTTTACACATGAGGAAACTGAACCCCAGTGAGGAGCTCTGCCTGGCTAATAAATACGTACAAGTTTTACATACTTCCCGAATATATGTTTAGGTTCACCTCCATTTCATGAGATATACTGCCATTTGTCCGGATAGTAACTAAAAGACATCACGTTAAGATCTAAGCTCTGAATCCAGCTGACCCTTGGTAGATTGTTGCAAAAAGGACACATGAAAGGTAAAAAAAAAAAAAGCACTATTTTTTTTAAAATGCCAATTCTTCATTTTAGCTTTACAATACCATCCACCTTATAAAATTATTCTATGTAGTAGGGCCAACTGAAATCAGAGACCAAAAGAAATTCATAAGAAATGAGATGTTTTTATAGCCCTGAAGGATCCGTGCCATCTTTAAAGGGACCAGTGTGTATATACAAATGCAACATTCTTATAGTATACTATTTCCTAACTCTGTCTTTAATGAGGAATATATAATGTTAATTATCTGCTATGACCTTTTGATATTTTCTAGTGACAGATTTATAACTTGGGGGGAAAATATACCAAAACATTAGTTTAAGAGGAGCCAAATTTGCCAGTGCTTTGTGTTGTCTTTATCAGTCTCCACTGTGAACCACACATAAAGTAACCATGACAAAAAAACAGTTTAATAAAACATATTAAGTGCCTATTACGTGTTAAGGTGCTCAAACTGTTGGCTGGCCAACAGTTTTAAATGTAAAGTTTGTTCAATTTAAAATTTAAATTTTTAAAAATTTAAAAAGTTTAACAAACTTTCAAATTTAAAGTTTGTTACTTCAATTCTAGATAATGTGGTAATACATTATTCCAGAATCTTTTGGAACCTGGTGGCCCATTTTCTATAGGTTGTTTTGACCGCACTGGCGTTTTGGACCTCTGTACCTCATGCTCTTTCCCCTTTCCCTCTGTGTTGGTAATAAACTTCGGAGGGTACGCCTTATCTTTGTCACATTTCACAGACCCTCTGATTTTGCCTGCTTTGTTGGACTCTTTTCCTTCACCTGGTCTTCCCTGCTTTTCACTCTCTTCATCTCCTGCCTCCTCGGATTTCCCCCCTTCTTCCTCGGCGTCCTCCTCTTCCCCCTCCCTCGCCCTCCACTCTGCTTCTTCCCCCTCCCCCTCTCCTTCCTGGTCCTCCTCCCCTTCTTTCTCCTCCTCCTCCTCCTCCCCCTCTCCTTCCCCCTCCTCCCCTTCTTCCTCTTCCTCCCCTACCTCCTCTTCTCCCTCTCCTTCCTCTTCTCCCTCCCCCTCTTCTTCCTCCCCCTCTGGTTCCCCCGCTTCTCCTTCTTCTTCTTCCCCCTCTCCTTCTTCCTCTCCTTCACTTTCTCCTTCATTCCCTTCCCCTTCTCCTTCCTCCTCTGCTTCCTCCTCTCCTTTCTCTGCTTCTCCCTCTCCCTCCTCCT